CTGCATGGATAATGAGCTTATCGGGTTGCTTTCGTGCAGTGGGCTTTAAGAAATCAGACATATCATTAACTGTTGCACCTGAGAAAGACTTAACTATTACGTTTCTGTCAGTGTTGGATACTTCCCAACCTTTTACATATTTTATAATCGAATCTCCAGCTATAACGACCGTTTCTTTAGTGCGTTGTCTTTCTGCTGTTATTTCCTCACTTGCCTTATGCGCTTCTCTCGTTTGCTCGTTTTCCTTTGCCTTTTGTTCGTTATTCTTCACCTTTTGTTTCTTATTCTTATACTTCTTTTGTTCCTGGTTAATCTGCTGTGACCTCTGCTTGTTGGCTTTTGATTGAGCAGCTTTGTCATCAGATTCGCTCATTTGATTCTTACCCAAGCCCTTTTGTTGAAGGCTTAATTTCTCTTTTGTTTTTGTCGTGTTAGGAATTTCAGCAACACAGCCATGTTTTGGATCTTTAGGTCTTTCTTTGCTAGTGTCCTGGATTTCTTTATTCTGGGGAACCTGTGTAGACTTTAAGATGACGCTGTCGTCCTCACTAGCTTCACTGTTGTCGATATCATCACTCAAGACAATATATTGATTTTTTATCCGAGTTTCACCATCTTTGTCCCTGATGTCACCACTGGGACCAATTGTAGAATAATTCTTTGAGGAACCACGGCCAATCTGAGACCTTTTATGATTGTTTACAACATTCCAAGACGCTATAGATTTATTAGCATGACAAGTATGTTGATTTTGATCATCATGTAGAATTTTAATAACGGTGACCAAGCTGTCTTTTTCATTTTCTAAATCTTTGACCTTTGTTCTCAAGTCCGATGTAATACATTTGTACGTAGTTGTTAATCTGCTGTTTAAGTAAAGCATTTTCATCTTTAAGACTAGCGTTCTCTTTAACGAGAAATCCCTTATTAAAAACCGTAGATATTGATTCGTCACGAGACTTGATGATTTCGTTCTCGTCTCTTGTGAGGTTCCTGATATCTAATTCTGATCTTATTTCCAGAGCTTCGCTTGCAAGTTTTGTGTATTCAGCTTCTAGGTTCCCTCGCGCAATTTTCTCGACATGTAATTCTAGTCTAGTCTCGTGCACTTCGCTTGCGAGATCATTTATCCTACTTTCCAACTTCGCCTCAAGGCTTCTTACGGTATTAAGCAATGATTCATACTCGTTTAACTGACCAGTGGAAATTTGATTCTCGCTTTCGTTACTTACTGCTTCCTCATCAAAGTTGATTGGTATTTCGCCATTACCAGAGACACAGGCAGCATTTGTGTCTTCGGATTCTAACTGTAGCTGTTTGTTGAGATGAATAAGTTGAGTCTTAAACTCATCACACGACTTTCCATTAATTGTAAGTGAGTTACTATCTGAATACCATCTTACAGCAACTTCATTCAGCTAAAGCAACTTACAATAGCCGCCGGGAGACGACCATTTTGTTTCTTTGCCGGTCAATTCGTTCATCAAATTTTTGAGACCTTCAAAAGGGCCTATCCATTTGAATTTGTTCTTGTCATTTACAACAAGATACTTTGACGTACCATTTATGTATTTTACTTGATCTGCAACATTAGTTGAGGTCTTATCAGCCAATTCAAAATCTATATTATCGGAGCTCAAGAGTGCATGACCTTCGTCCATGACTGCTGTAGGAGAAACCGACAGCTTTGTGTGTTCAACAGATGGTAAACCATGGGTTGAATTGCGACACGAAATGTGTGGTTTATCTTCTCACTTGTAAAGTCTGTAAAAAACAAAATGTTGGCGAAACAACAGATAAATTTAGGTACCGTTGGAATAATTATAAAGCCTGCCACAAAAAGGCAGTTAATAACGAGACCTATACACAAATGTTTTTCCATCAACATTTCTTCGGTAATGGACATAATGGATTGATTAGTGTTTGCGAGATTGTTTTAATTGATAAAACTGACCCAGCGGAACCGACCAGACGTGAGGCATTTTGGATAAGCAAACTAAAGACAATGTATCCTTCGGGATTGAACATAGAGAATGCGCAGCAATTTTAATTATAGTTAACAGGATATTGTTATTTGTATGGTAAATCACTTATATTCATATTATGCATAATTAGCAAAATTGGGAGGGTATAAATTGGGTTCGCCTGTAAAGTAGGATTATATTTGATGAAGACAATAAAGTCGAAACGTTATGTGTTGAGTTGATTAACTATATATATATATGTTAGTGCCAAAGTGAACCATAGGTTGTGAAATATTAGTGCTAGGCATTTCACACTTACCAATGACCATCCCCAAAAGTACCATCTCTGAACCATATAAGCACCTCAGAATAGCCAAAGTTTTTATGGTTTGGTAGATAGCAGTATGGCGAAAGCGTCGTTTTTGGGTGTGGTCAGTTTCGGACGTTTCGCCGCCCCGGATTGGGGTTCGGGCAGCGTTGCCATGTTGACCGTCATGGTCAACTTACCCTAAAACAGTTGAGATTATCTGTCCTAAATGAAATGCATACAAACTCATACACAGGTCCTAGACTATTTTTGAATTATAGTCCTTTTTGAATTATAAATACATGTATATCAGTGTCGGATTAACCATATAGTAGAAGCGGCATATGCCACGGGTCCCGCAATTTTAGGAGCTCTGCACATTTAAGGGCCCCATGTTTTTAGGGTCCCCTAATTTTATATTCCTGAACCTTTTTGAATTCAGTGTTTAAAATGCTGTTCGACAGGGGGGTCAAAGGCTACCCATGCTGATAATATGCAACAGGCCCAATACAAAATATTATACAATTTTGTGGCACCAAAATAATGGCTAGATATATTTACTTGGAAAACACATAATGTAATAATATATCATAAACCTCCGACTATAAGCCCTGGGCATAAATATACTGTACTTTCCTAAGCGATTGTTGATGGGATTATACAGGGGGAGGTATATACGGGGAGCTAAAACATGGACGATCTTTTGCGTTAGTAATAAAGTTAGACGTGAACAAGGAAAATAAACATGTATATATAGCACGCTTTGATTAATTAAATATAATACAAAACATAATCTGAAGATAAGCATCTTGAAACCCAAAATATGAGTGAAAGAAGAAAGTGAGTGAGTAATATTTCGATGTTATTACAAAATCATCATCAGACTAACTAAAGTTACAATATACACATGGTCTTATATACAAGTTGGCAAAGCATGACGACAGCTTAACGGAAGTCTCAATCAGAACCACGACAGTTACAGTGAGATGTAAGTGTGATGAAATATGGGTGTATAGATTAAGAAAAAAGCTTGAGTTCTTTGCTGGCTTTGAGTCCAGTGTTTAAACTGGGTGAATAATACTTGATATATGAAGCTTCAAGCAACAAGAGTAAGTTAGATGTGCGAGAATAAATAGTGTGAAGAATTCGAGAGTTGTCAAATATTAAGTTGGAAATAAAAGTGGAAACGTTATTGACAGCGTCAGTTGGGTTGTTAAGTTTGTCAAAAACAAAGTGTAGGTTTACAATGTATTGCGCATGTTTGCAGTTGTGAATATGCTGTCCAATAGCACTTTTGGTCGGATTTCATCACACTTACATCTCACTGCAACTGTCGTGGTTCTGATTGAGACTTCCGTTAAGCTGTCATCATGCTTTGCCAACTTGCATATAACACCATGTGTATATTGTAACTTCAGTCTGATGATGATTTTGTAATAAAATCGAAATATTACTCACTCACTTTCTTGTTTGACTCATATTTTGGGTTTCAAGATGCTTATCTTCGGATTATGTTTTGTATTATATTTTTTGAAATTGTCGGCTTGTATTGGTTTTTGATTAATTAACATAGTCGGCTATAAAGACAATGACAATGTTTTAAATATCGTTCTCTGCTATATTAAAAGACAATGTCAATGTTGAGTAACATAGTGGGCTTCCGGACACAAATTCCGGGGACTTATAATTGGGCAGTTTATATTCGGGGAGGGGGGGGGGCGGCTTATATCTGGAACGAGGTGAGCGTTAGTATATGTGGGGGCTTATAGTCGGGGAGCTTATAGTCGTACGTTTACGTTTTGTAATAACACTCATAAGCTTATAAGCACACAATTCATCACATATGCCATAGTTATTTAGAGAGTCAGCATCATCTAATATATACTCAATACCTTCCATTAGAGTACTTGCAGGAGGTAATTCAGTTTGACAATACATTAAATTGTATTTATTACTATTTTTGTCACTTTTAAAAGATGACATTACTTCTTGAATCTCTTTATATAATTTGGAAACTTGTGAGGCAGACAATGTTCTAACCTTTCTTTTAACCACACTTTCTTCTGATTTACTTCCATCTAAATAATTCTTCTCAGAATTGCCATCACAAAGACAGCAACATCTTCTCTGCTTAACAAATATTCCAACACCATCTTTCTGAGGCAAACATCAATTGATTGACAGTACATTTTCATTGTGTCATCAATGTTGGTTTTTTTACTGTCTACATCCGAGTTATTATAATATAGTGTTGCCATAGCTGGCTGTCCGCAACGGCAAGCTCGTCCTATTTGTTGGAAATAGGATTCCAAATTTGAAGGCGGCCCAATATGAATCACATGTAGTGTACTCAGGTGAATATGATATTTGTGGTGTTACTCTGAGTGTATATCCACACCGGGCGAGCTTGAAAAATATATATGCCCGGCCACGGTGGGATTCGAACCTACCATCTTTGCAATACTAGCCCAATGCTCTTCCAACTGAGCTAAGCGGTCAGGACGGTTCGAGTAAGTGATATTTCGGAACAGAATTTAGTTCCTTCGATACCAATGTATTCTAGTAATATGAATTTTTTCTGTGTTGGTGCAGTGTACTAAGGTGAATATATATTTGTGGTGTTACTCTGAGTGTATATCTACACTTGAGTACACCACACCAACACAGAAAAAATTCATATTACTAGAATATATTGGTATCGAAGGAACTAGATTCTGTTCCGAAATATCACTTACTCGAACCGTCCTGACCGCGTAGCTCAGTTGGAAGAGCATTGGGCTAGTATTCCAAAGGTAGTATGTTCGAATCCCAGCGTGGCCGGGCATATTTTTCAAGCTCGCCCGGTGTGGATATACATTCAGAGTAACACCACAAATATCATTATGAATCACATGGTTAACATGAGGGGCGTTTACACCCATTCCTAATGCTGTTGTTGCAAATACTACACGGATTGTGGAGTTCTCTTTTGTAATTTCTGCAATAATTTCCTCCTTCATTCTCTTGGTCTGCTGAGAGTGAAATTGGGCGAACAAGCGGGCTTTAGGAATATTTTCAACTACCCTTGTACTGGTTTTCTTTGAAAATTTGATCGAATAAAGCATAAGCATAACCAAAGTATTTCAATTTCATGTATATTATAGTGAGTGGATAAAGTACATTCATTCTTAGTAACGATTCAGCAATTGGCCTTAATATAATGTCATAACTTTCATATCCATAGCTGTTACTTGCACGTTTTTGCCGATCTAGAAATATATTTTCTTTGTTCGGATTTTTACTGACAATCTTACAGTCCTTGCTCAGGCATAGACTTTCCTTCAACTTCATGATAAGTTAAGGTAGTGCAGTAGCTGAAAGATTCAATGTTGGGCTTGATGGAAAGAATGCTTTGAGACAGTCCAGTCCTTTGAAATCCTTTCTAAAATCATTTCCCCTAAAAGTCAAAATGAACATAAAAATAGTAAAAAATATTGCAAACAAAACAAAACAGTTTTTAACTTAACACTAGCCATTTGAGCACTGCATATATATGGTACAACCATTGGTTTTAACTAATTTACTAGCAATGCATCCTGTTTAGTATTTATTGTGATTGTGAACTTTATTTACCCACGGTAGACTTATCAGGATTTTACATAAAAGATGATAAGTGAATACAATATAGTTACAGATTGCAGAATATAAAAGTTAATTAAGACACTAATTATGTATACATACTATACTAATACTAATTATATATTACAAGAACACCTGTTTTCCATAAGTGCCGTGCTAATATATTAATATAAAAATCTAATGTATAAAGTTGCTGCAGTCTGACTTGAATTTACGTAATGAGTTAGACTGTCTCAACTCAACCGGAAGGCAGTTCCACAGCACAGAACCACTATAGCTAAAACTATTTTTCAGGTAATTTGTGCGTGGTTGAGCTAAAGCTAATTTTCTACTGGTGTCTCTCAATGTATAATTTGTTACGCTACTTCGATCAACAAACATTTCAGACAGGTAGTCTGGCACAAAACCATTAAGAGATTTATAGACCATTATAGCTTTGGCAATCTTTCGCTGAGATTCAAGGTTTTTCCAGCACAATTTTTCAATTAGATATTCAGCATTTGTATCATAATTAGATGAAGTAAGTACTCTTGCGGCTCGATTTTGGAGTTTTTGCAGTTTATTCGCAAGAGTACTGCCGCAACTATCCCAGACAACGCAACAGTAATCGAAATAGGGTTGAACTAAGCAATTGTAAATAAGTTGCATTGTGGAAGGTGGGACGAATGGCCTTATACGCTTTAATGCACCTATGCCAGAAGCGACTTTTTTGCATAATTTCTCGATATGAACATTCCAAATCAAGTTCTCGTCTAAATGTACACCAAGTGACTTTGTGTGAGAGACTTGTTTAATTGGTACGTCATTTATTGTCAGTGAAGGACTAGAGTTGAAAGTACTAATCATTTGACGGGAGCCGATTAGCCTAAATTCTGTTTTAGATTCGTTTAAAGTAAGTTTGTTGGCTACTAACCACTCACTGACTTTAGCAAGATCTTCGTTGAAGTGATGATCAATGTCATCAATATCGTTACTTGCGTAAGTCAAATGAGTGTCATCTGCATACATGCGTGCACGTGAGTGAGAGAGGCAATTCGGGAGATCATTGATATAGATTAAGAATAAAAGTGGCCCCAGAATAGTTCCCTGGGGAACTCCGCAACGGAGTAAACGATTTGTCGAAAAATGACCATTAACGAAACAATTTTGTTTCCGTTCACTGAGATATGATCTGAACCAGATGCCAGCAACACCATTGATGCCATATGAATTTAGTTTTCCTAAAAGAATCTCGTGGTCTACGGTATCAAACGCCTTCCTGAAGTCGAGAAACAGGACAGCATTTACGCTTCCATGATCAATATTATAAGCCCAATCGTTAGTGGCCTCAAGAAGGGCGGTGACAGTAGAATGTAGACCACGAAATCCCGACTGACAATTAGTTAACAGACTATTTTCAGATAGAAATAAATACAGCTGATCATAAATTATTCTTTCGAAAACCTTAGCCACTACCGAAACAATGGAAATCGGACGATAATTGTCAGGGCAATTACGTTTCCCTTGTTTGTGTATTGGGGCAACTTTAGCGTGTTTCCACTCATCTGGGAATACTCCGGAGACAATTGATCGATTAAAAATGTAGCTAAGAGATTCCGCTATTAAATCAGGGCACTCTCGAAGTAGGCGGGACGAAATTTTGTCCAGACCAGTAGCTTTTGACCTACTTAGCTTGCACAAAAAGAACGAAAACTGCAGAGAAATTAGTTTCTTTTAATTGAAAACGGATGTTGTTATTTTGACTAGGTAAATAATCGAGATAACAACGATTATTCTGATTAACATCTACATTATCTGCAAGCTTCGAACCAATGTTAGAGAAGTGTTCATTAAAAGCATCAGCAATTTTGTTGGAATCGTTAATCAAATTACCATCCAAATCAACTTCGTGAATATGCGAGCTTTTTCGATTTTTAGATGTGAGATCATTAATAATATTCCAGGTCTTTTTCGAGTTGGATTTATTTTCAGAAAACGAACGTTTAAAATAGTTTTCCTTCGCCCGGGCAATATTTTGATTTACGGAATTTCGCATTTTCTTAAAAATATGCCAATCTAAAGGACCATTAGACCGGATTGCCTTGATTTTAAGAATATCTCTTTTGTGCATTTCACCTTTCAAGTGAGATGAAATCCAAGGCGCTTTAGAGGCCTTGACACGCTTTGTGCGTAAAGGAGCATGCTTTTCTACAACAAAATTAAAAGTGTTTTTCCAAGTATGCCACATATCGTTAGGATTCTTAAATTGATGGATAAAGTCCCAGTTTTGCTGACTAATATCATTACGAAATTTGGCAGAATCAAAGTTTTAAACTTTCTATTTTCTCTAACTCCAGGCAATTTTACTCCAGTACTGTGAGTAATGCAAGTAAACTGGTTAAGATAAGTTAGGCCAGGGTCAAACATTGAACTTTCCATGTGCCGAACCTAATGTAAATCATAGCTACTGTAAGTTACTTGATTCACTTCACTTGCATTGGGTTCAGTGCATGAAAAGTTCGACATTTGACCCTGGCAAGTTGTATTCAACATGACTAGTTGTATCAATGTATCTAATTTGTTATCACTTTTCAGCAAGTTCATAACTTTATTTTTTATCAGAAATAAAACAACTTTCATACTATATGAATTGGGTTGTTCATGAAAAGGTCCACCCCCCCCCCCACGGAAGAAATTTCTGCCGTCCAGAGGGGGGGGGGGTAGATAGGGGGGGCGAACTTCCAATTTCCTTCGTGGGGGAGGTATGGGTGTTTTCTGGAATGACCCAATGATGAAAAAAAAAATTGAACTACCTGACAATGGGTAACAAAGTTCTGTATATTTTATTGTGAACTTATCAAAATAAAAGGTTTCACGGTAACAACCACCATTTTACAAGTAGGACAAACACAATGACTATAAAATGCATATGATCAATACACTAGGGAAATCACATTGCGTTTGTCCTTGATCCATTCATGTGTCAGTTGAATCAGTTTGCCCTACTTGGAAAATGGCGACAGTTTATACCGTGAAACCTTGAATAATAATGTACTTACCACATTTCAAGACAATGAGCCTCTTCAATCACACAAGCGACACGTTCTTTTGAAATACATCGGATTTCATCAACATTTTACTAATATCTGAAAGGATATTCTCTGGATTTGCGAATAATATTTTGCACTGTCCATAGTCTGGCGTTTCGCAGTTGTCTTCTGCACCATTTGCTTTCGCGTGGTCGAACAACGTATCACCTTTATGCTCCCTTTTTGAATGAAATATACTGGCGTTTATGCCCATGTTGTTCAAGACTTTAAGTTGATCTTCAATAATGGAAGTAAGAGGGCATACCACGATAACAATGTTTTGAGTGGTTTTCGTGGGCAGTATATCTGGCAGCAACTGGTAGAGCAAAAATTTCCAAAATCCCGTAGGAAGTACAGCTATCACATTGTATCCTTGAAAAATGTATTCAAAACACTTTACCTGCTCTGGCTTAAGAATAATGTCCGGTATTCCGGCGTTATTTAAGCTACATCAATTCGGGATTCCGCCATGTTGAAATTTAAAACATGGCTAGAAATGAAGGACAGTATGGCGACTGGCTTTGTCAAAATATGCGCAGATCTAACAAATTTTATGAATTCAAGATGGCGGAAATATAGAGCGTTAATAGTATAAACATGTAAAATCGATGCGCATGCAGAATAAGTGTAAAATTTTCACGTTGCCCACGACTACCAATCTATAAGATACCTCAATAGTGTTGTTTTGCAACTCTCGACGTCTCACGTTTTGCTATTAGCCGGTCCGAGTAACTCCATTTGCCCATATTTTCTGGTAATGTAAACTCCATTAAAACGGTGAAATCCGAGTATGGGTGCTATGTTCAGTCCGGTATAGTGTCGTTCAAGAAGAAGTCAGACAAAATGCCCACGCGTACGTCTCTATTTCCTATACGATGTTCAAACTGTCATTTTTCGTTGTTTAAGAAGCACCTTAGCTTCTATTCGTACGCCCAAATGGTTGTAAAATCGTCTGTTTTTTAACAAACTGCAAGCTTGAATTCTCACAACCGTAGAGCTTGTAGTGAAGAACAGCTGCGAAATTTTCCAAAATTTCGTTCGTACAACTGTGGCTTTTACGCCATTTTGTAAACATTGATGCTAATAGCCGCTGGCCGATGAAAGGAATACACGATTGCTCAAAATAGCGTGAAAATTGAAAATAATAGAGCGAAAATTGGAAAATATTTACAATATTTTGCTGTGGAAATCTTCCTTATACGAGACGTCCCTTGTCCTTAAAGATCGACCGTACTCAAATTACGCAACAAATGATAAAAAGGTACGAGGTAAGGGTACGAGTTTGCACGTTTTTATCTAGCAGCGACCAGACTCCCAATTTAAAATGAGAGCCTACACTGATGATATACAATTTTGAATATCTGCCCCGTAACGGTCGTTTTTTCAAATATGGAATGTCTATCCTTATGTTGTTCACAACTTTCGTGCAAACTAAATTTAGACGGTACAGTTTATACTGTTTTTCGAAATATAAGATATTCAAGCAAATGTTTAAACATTTTAAATACTGTTTTCTCAAAACAGAACATTTCATGCTTTGAGATAAGATGGCTTTGATTAGTTGATGTGTTTTTTTATGCATAGTGCTTCAGCAGTTGACATATATAGAGCTCAGCGGAAACATATCAATTTTAGCACCTGACCGATGAGAATTTCGCGTCACAATTTGAGACGCAAATATTCAAATTCAATAGTCATCGATGCAGGCTTTCATTTCACTTTGAGAGCCTGTTTGCAGGCTAGATTTTATAACAATATTGTGTAAAAATAGCTCCAAGAAAGGACATTTAAGAAATAGAAAACATTTTCCGTGATTCTAAGGAGTTATAGAAACACGCGTAGAAGTTTGGGAGAAACGAGAGATTGCGTGGAAACACGAGCACAAAGTGCGAGTGTTTCCACGCAATTTCGAGTTTCGCAAAGGAAATATTTTTCTAAAAAGACAAATATAGTTTTTCGGCGTTTTCAGACGTTTTCCAACTTTTTTTCAAATATTCATCAATTATTGGACGAGGTTGAGCAAAATATCGTGGTATGTCGGTGGCGAGCAGATCAAGTTTTTGCCGACGACGAAGGCAGAGGCAAATAATTGATCTGCGAGCACCGACAAATAAGAATATTTTTCGAGAACCGAGTTCAATAATTGTCTTATCTTTCACTTGTAAAGCTTTATTTTACCTTTCATTTAATATAAGTTCGCCGTCTTTCTTGCTTCTGCAATTGAGAATACTATCAAGTGGATGATAATAAATATTGCTTATATTTTGTCTTTTAAACTGCGGAACCCGTACAATTCACGCAAACCGCTTGAAAATTCCCTGTGTTTCTATCGAGTTATGGAAACACGTTTTTTTTTATCTTTTGACCAATCAGCGCACGTGTTCTAATTTTAAAAGACTATTTTATAAAACGTAAAATAAACGTAAATAGTCCGGGAAAGTTATATCTAACGACATTTTTTCATATATTCAACTTATTCATTTGTATGAACAGTACCATGGTACCACTTTATATGCTCATCTTGTGTCCACATACAGCTCACTCTTACGAACGATTTGAATCACATTCAATACAGGTCTTAATCTCATAAATACATGCAAAAAGGCATTCTTCTTAACACCCTCTATTAATCCACAGAAAATGCGATAAATGACAAGGTTACGAAAATTTTCTCTTCTATTAATAAAAATGCGCTTCTCGCCAATATATTTCTCTATTTTTCTTGCTGCAATCTACTTGATAATCAGAATTCCTTTCGATCAGTGCATGTGAGTGTCAGGGATCTAGATTACCCTTCTATAGAAAAAAACTTGAAGTTGTGGATGATTTTGGATTAAATGCCAATGCCGCTGGAGTTTTTAGTTTTTTTTCAAATTTGATATATAGACGTAATATCAATTCATCCCAATATAAACGTTGTTGCTGCCGAAGGCAGCACACAATTCTTAACCAGTCCATTTCCATTCGCGAATTGTATGCAGCCAAGAAGTCAATTTGGGATGTTTGTACATACGAAAAGATGATCAGATTTATGACGTTCTTTGACGTCACAGAAATTTTAAAAAATATTATAACATACTTCACATCGCGATTTGACTTTCCGAATACACCAGTCGGAAAATCGTGAACAGCACCGTGGACCATGACAATTTGTAAACACATTACATTCTGGCCTATGAAATACAGCAAGCTTTCAACAGGCACGACTCACGAGTGGCTTAGTGCAAATTTTACTTTATGTTCTGGCTGTTTATCGAAATATTTTTCAAGGTAAGATGAAAGTTTGATCATAAATGACAATGTGTTTTGTTCGTTTACCCGTTATAAGGAATGAATTAACTGTATTTAAATTATTAAATTTTTAGGTGCATGATGCATAGAAGCCTTCATATCAATAAGCGGATCTCGCTGATTGTCAGTTTGTAAAAAAATCCAATTGAGCTTGATAGAACATTGTGCTTTAAGGTATAAGTATTGTTATCATGGAATATCAATTGAGCATTATCGTGCTCGCATTGGAATACACAATTGTATACGAAATTACGAATGAAAATTAAATTACATAAAATATTATAGCAACCTCGATAGCAATTTACCATTGTGGATTGTTGTCTGCACATATAACTTACATGCAGTTACACTTACATGTAATAACATTTTAACCGACTTTTATAAAAGGTATGACGGTCTGTAAAAATATATCTCTGAGATATGTCCATTGTTTATAGCATAACACTACCAGCCTACATGTATATTTTCACCTGGCTAGCTGTGTCACTACAGTACACAGGGTATACTATATTTTATGTCTTGTGATAATGCTCAAAATTGTTTGTATTATATAGTTTATATGCAGTACTGATTGAGTACAATTTTAATCCGTTACAAGTGAATGGTGTCATTATAAGCTGACACATGAATCAAAACTGTCAACAAATAGATTTTGTTTCCCCATTAGGCATCAGCACATTGTTCAGTTGTTTCGCAATAGGGGTAGCCTTGAAGGTGCCATTATTGCATATTTAAAATGACACGGTAATTGAGACAAAAACTAACTTAATATATCTATATATGAAATTACAGTCGAACCCCTATTAAGCGGACACCTTCGGGACCTCGCCTAGGTGTCCGCCTAAAAGGGGTGTCCGCTTAAAAGGGGTATGTAGAAAAACACAGCAGGAGACAAAGGTGTGTAATTAGGTGTGTAATTGAGTATCATCATGGCTGGCGGCTCACAGTTCTCCTCATTCGTCACTTCCTCAATAACCTTGGCTCTGATGTCTTCGCGCCAAGTTGTTCTGTCACTGTCAATGTGCCATGTAAATTGATCTCAATTGTTATTTACTGTCAAATATTGAATACATTTTATCAGACAATCTGTCATCTGTCCGCTTAAGAGGGGTTGATTTGCCCATTGGGACCTCCAGAAAGGTGTCCACGTTCGCTAAAGAGGGGTGTCCGCTTAATAGGGGTTATGATAATAGTTTTTTATTTAAGAAGCCAAATGGGACCTGAGATACATGTCCGCTTAAAAGAGGTGTCCGCTTAAGTGAGGTGTCCGCTTATAGGGGTTCGACTGTATTATAATATTTAATAAATTCTACATATCCAATGATTCATTCAAGTATTACATTGTTTATATATTATATGATTTTGTTTAGTTACCACGCAAATTGGGCATGCCGCGCCAACTGGGCACGCCATGCCAACTGGGCATGCCACGCCAATAAACTTGTATCTATTTGAAAAATAAAATCATTAAAAGCTTGCATAGCATGACTTGTTGCTATGGCTAGATTAACCACTGATAGTGTTATATTATACATGCAAAAGCAATTCGTATAATTAAACATGCGAGCCAAACATATAACTTTTAACAAAGCCATTAAAACAGATAAGATTGTAAAAAATTTTAATTGTAACGTTTCGTCTTTAACTTAAGACATCTTTAGACTAGATAAAATTACATGAAATGTGAGTATATATAGTAATATATATATATATATATATATATATATATATATATATATATATATATATATATATATATATATATATATATATATATATATATATATATATATATATATATATATAATATGACTACCTCTGAACAGATGTCTTAGGCCTGTTTACATGATAGAAGGTGGGATGATTTTTGTTGTATTGGAATAAGTCACTAGGCTAAACTAAAGCTTAATTGCTGTTAACAGGACTAAATATTGTATAGAGAAGATCTTGTGGTTAAAAAAGATTATTTTATTTACAGTTTATAATCTATGTGTATTTCTAGAAAATGTTGTTTCTGAATTGTGTACTGTGACTCATTTCAATACATTGAAATCATCCTGCCTCATACCTCGTCCTGGCAAAGTGGATCGTATAAACAGCCCATTATTCAACAAATTGCGCATGGTGCCATCTCTTGGGGGTGAGGCAGCACTTTCCTTGCGATAGTAACTTTTAGTATTATTGAAGTATTTTAAGTAGTGTTTTTGGCAACGTATATTTACGATCATGTGCAGTAGAAGAGAAACGAACACGTCTGTTTTTGTGAATCGAACCAAAGTTGACGTTTTATAATTTTTTCCTATTTTTATTTGTATCATTGGGTAAATAAATTTTCTACTTTTACGTGGTAGCCGTTAATTTCCGGTGCGAGGCCGCAGCGTCAAAAACATCAACGGAGTGGCTTTTCTAGATCTGTTCATTTCTTTGTTATGTGCGTTTCCGTCATCTTATTTGGACATATCATAATTTCACAAGATGTACAGTATATGAAACGAATTAATGTCCAATTTTATGACAGCTACCTTTCTTTTTATATAGGACGAACGAGCTGTTATTTAACTTTTCTATGATACCTTTATTCTTAAACCGTTACGACGAGAAATGGCTAGATAGGCCAACTCGTCAAATAAAAATTGAAGGTTGAAATTAATTGTTTCACCGTTGGGAATTGCATGGAAAACGAAACATAGACAATTCCCAAGAAGAAATTAAAGTTAAATGTTAAGTTATCTAAAATAAGCTCTACTCGTCAATCTTCGTTTTAGTGATTGAGGCAATGAAAACGTCCATTATTGCATTAAACATGGTTCAATTAACCACTGGCCAGAGATCATTCGTAATCAAATACCTTTCAGCAGGTTCGCGTTGCTCTTGGATTTATAATTAATTTAACACAATAAATATATTTTCAATTCTCAACGGTGAAAAAATGTGATTTCAACGAACAATTTTTATTTGACGAGTGTGTGGACATTTGTAATCGTTACGGTTTAGGAAAGGTATCATAGAAAAAGCGAAATAACGGCTCTTTTGTCCTGTGTAGAAATTAAATTGTTTAGATAAGTTCGTGATGCACAACAGCCAATTGAATTTGCATAACGTTTTTTCAGCGACCTGTAGCATTTGGAAATACCAGAAGTATGTAAAAGTAACGTGTAATTTCGACAAATAGAAATTTTTTGTCGACCTCTGCCACTGCAGATTTCTATAAATTTTTCTTCCAGAATTGGCTCAGTTAAAGTGGATGCGGAGGCCATTTACTTTGCGGAGCCAAACAACCATATTGGTCCGTACAGTAATAATGCGACCGTCAACAATAATGTCTTAGTAGCTGAAACACTAAGAAAGAAAATCCTGGAAGGACGTTTTAAAAAGTATGACCTGAAGACTGTTCGCATTCAAGGTACAGAGGGTGGTTGTACAACAGCGGGATATGCTATTCGCCGGATCGTGAATTTAAATTGACCGTTGAAATAAAGTTTTTCTGTATTTATTATGTACACGACAAAATTACTGCAATTATATTAGTTAAGAGGAGTGCAATTATGTCATTAATTATTTATCTTCTGTAATCAGTGGCAATTACAGCAATTTTATTGGTTTACATGAGGGCGATTTGAGCATTAATCGCATCTTTTCTGAGCTGTAATCTCACTCTTGTCTACACCTAATGAACATAAGTCTAGTATTTTAAACTAGCCAATCAGCATTCAAGATACAAACTTTGAATTTTCTTTTCTTTATTGCTGTAAAAACTTTCAAAACAATACCACCACCAACAACAACAACAACAACAACAAAAACACCTATATTTTTACACTCCGTCATTACAATAATAAATATTTACAGAGGTAATATATATATATATATATATATATATATATATATATATATATATATATATATATATATATATATATATATACATATATATATATATGTATATATGTATATATGTATATGTATATATATGTATATATGTATATGTATATATATATGTATATATATATGTATATATATATGTATATATATATGTATATATATATATTTATAATATAGTCATCCACCGTATATGAGCTGTTCTGCAATCTGATTGGTTGAATTACTCGCCGTATATCAGCTCATATACGGCGAGTAGCGAAAAACAAGATGGCGGTCCAAAAACTACATGAGTTTTGCGAAGCAGAAAAAGGAAAATATTCGCTTTGGGAAACATAATAGTACAAGGAAAAACTCTCAAAAAAATTTGACAGGTTAGCAAAATACATTTATTACGTAGAAATTAGTTTAAATACAAGTTTTTTAAAAAATTAATACTGAAACAACAACGAAAAAACATGTTCATTGGAATATAAATTGTTCAGAAAAGTTTGCAATGAACGACAAATGAATTTGCAATCAACAAACGCTTACTATAGTACCAAACATCTGTATAATATATCTGAGCATTCCTGTGAGATATAGAGGTTCTAAAACCATTTCTTTCACTTCTTCTTCGAGTTGTAAAACAAAAGTATTTCAAGTTTTCAAGCGGTTTTTGGCCGAAAAAATTGTCAACACATTGTAACAGTGAATAATTAATTACTGCTTCAGTTAATGACTATATTAGACTATATTATAAAACAATTATACCATTCGCTCTCGTCATATATGGCTGATAGCCGACTCGACTCGTCGGCTATCAGCTCATACACGACTCGAGCTCATGGTATAATTGTTAAATATAGAGCTTATATAGATAAAGATAAAATAAACCTGGTTTACTTCATACGATTTATTCACTACAAACTTGTTTCGTATGACAAACGATGCTTGCCACACTCATCAGGCGAATTAAAGTTTTTTAAAATTTTTTTTTTAATTAATTAATTTTTTAATTTTGATTTTTTTTTTTAAATTCACCTGATGAGTGTGGCAAGCATTGCTTGTCATACGAAACAAGTTTTTAGTGAATAAATCCTATAAAGTAAACCAGGTTTATTTTATCTTTATCTTTATTTTATCTTTATATATATATGTATATATATATATATATATATATATATATATATATATATATATATATATATATATATATATATATATATATATATATATATATATATATATATATATATATATATATATATATATATATATATATGCAGGCTTGCCAACTCTAACGGTCTTACCGGCCACGCGCTGAGACGTTGGTATCAGACATGCAATAGGTGAGGTCCACAGCCATTGCTTTACGAATGGATAACCTCTGGAAAGGTCATTAATTATAAAACAACAGCTTAACGTATCAAACTTATCGTGTGAATTTAATACAGTTCGAGGAGACTGCAAAGCAGGGGTCTTATGGAAAGAGCTATAGTTCTATGCTGAGCCAATTTGTATAGTAAGCCTATCACTTGGCACTTGAAAATCTGTGCTTTGTCGTTGCTATATATTAGGGCCTGTTTTTCATGAGACACTGGAAAAAATTTTGAAAATCCGTAGAAGGTCATAGCATGGAAATTGTATGGACCATTTTGATTATCCATAATAATTGTATATTTCCATTCCGATAGTATGGATATACTATGGATTTAGTGGTGCAATTGCAAATTTCATAGCCGATGGATTTCACATGTATTTTCTCCCAGGGAGACGGGCGAACTAACCACTTCCATGTCGTACAGCGGCTTCACTGAAGACAAACGATACGGTGAAATGGTAATTAAATCTCGGCCAGTGAACATCTTCCAAAAAACACAAAAATAAAGACATATTCCGAAAAAACTACCATCTTAAAAGACTGGAACCAATTGTTAAAACAAAGACAAAGATATAAAATAAACGACTGGAAAGAGCATCTCAAAATTAGTAGGTATACAACTTGCAAGTTTTTATGAATTGTATGGACGACATGATGTATAGGGACGACAATCAATAGTTTTTGTTTAACGTCGACTGTATACCAAATAAAATGTTGTTGGATAGAATGTTAAGATATTTTTCTCAGTAAGCAATTAAATTGATCACCACATTGCACCAGCCAATTGCACTATTTCTTTTCTAATACTGTCGGCATAACTCAAGTCTCAAGAAAGCTTTTACTGAGTGTTACATTTCAACATGAGCTCCACCTTTATTCTTTAAAAAAAAGTTAGATTATAGGGTTGCGGTTAGGGGTTAGGTATACCGCGAATTTATCATATTGATAAATTGGGACGTGTTTAACAATATACTCATAAGTGAATTCAAAGGTGGAGCTCGTGCTGTTATTTTTATATTGACTAATTTACAAATTCTCATCTGAGTATTTCATAAAATCGACTGGTGAATTTCACCACAAAATCAAGTTCCCTATTTAAACTGAAAATTTACTTTTTGTCCTCGATAGTCCAATAATGTCCGGCGGTTCCTCAATTTCGTTGTCAAAACTACTTATACTATCGCACTTTTTTCTATTACCGCACGTGTTCATTAAAATTGTTTAAAATGAAAACCGCGACGTTTTTGACTTCTATGGGAAATTTCTCAATCAACGCTCGCATACTATATAAATGTTATATTATATAAATATTTATGTTAAACCCAATCTCGTATCCAAATTAGCCCTTCCATATATTGTGTTCGACGTTTGATTTCCGATGACTCATGCAGGCTCCAACGTCGCTCTACTCCTCTAGTGGCGAATTGGATTATACTACAGTTCGGTGCATGTGCATGAAAAGAGTAACTCTTGATCCAGGCCTTACATTATATTCACTGCATCAAAAGTTCGAGGTATGAAACAGTCCTCAGTCATTTTAGTGAAAAACTGCGTTTTCCTTCTTTTTTCCGTATACAGTTCCACCGGACACGCATCTAATGGAAGGGATCGTACTGCTATTCATGCCATCCTCCCACACGTACTAGGAATAAACTACTGGTCAGACTCATTTTTGTTCATAATTACACTTTATTGTGACAAGTTTAGCAAGATAAAAAACAACTACAAGATAGAGTTACTTTGAAGACTTGGTATAAGACATAAAAGAAATAACGGTGTCCACAGCAAACACTACCATTGCAAAGAAACCACACACCTATAGAAAAGACGAAAATTACG